CGCGCCTAATCCGGCGACGCCCGACGTAGATCCGGCGAAGGGGCAGGCAGACTTGGCCTGCCGGCTGGCCAACCCGTTGGAGAAGCTTCAGGGAAGGGCAGGGTGTTGGAGGAGAGGGTGGAGAGGAGAGGGGGGAGGAAGGAGGTTGCGCGACGGGGACCTTTTTGGGGCCGCCGCCGCCGCACGCCAGAGGGCAGTGGCGGCGGCCGGAGGAGAGGCGGAGGTGGGGCTTCTGGAGCGGCTGCGGCGAGGCGCCCCCGAATTGCCCATTTAGCTGCGTAAGCTTGATAGCGTGCTTGAACAACTTCAGCAGTACTTTTCAGCGAACGAATTGTATTTTTCTTTCACAACAAATCAGCATAAGCCAAATTTCAGCGTCTTCAGCAGTACTTTTCGTTCGCTAAAAAGTACTGTGGAAGTTGTTTGAGCGAATAGGGCTGCTGGGTGCGTATGCATGCGAGACTGCACCATGAGTAGTGTATATGACAGTTGACGGACGCAACAAGGGGATGAAGCCGGTTGGAGTCAGGAGAGCGGATGGAGAAAGGCCGAATAAAGCGCCACTGCACTCACTGGATGCAGGCGCTGCTGGCGTTGGCTAACCACTTCACTGTATAGCGATCCATCGTCTCGCTTGCACGGCATAGCATGTGCTGCATGCATGCTCTCGGTTGCGTGTGCCACAGCATAGCACATAGCAGTGTACTGTGTGCTTGTGCATGCATGGGCGGGGCACACCACTCGTTGCTCGGTGGAACGCGATGCAGCTTGCTCTGGACAGGAGTCGGGAGTCAGGAGGACCACTGCTGGTGCTGGTCCGGCGATGCAAGACATGCAACGGCGGTATAGACCTGTGCTGTTGCCAGCCTCTATCTGTTTGTTTGAGCTTATTTGTCTGATAAGTCATGGCTGAAAGTACTGTTGACTGGTTTGGTGTGAGAGAAAAATATTATTCGTTAGCTGATAAATCATGATTTATAAGTCAAATACGACCTAGCGAACAGGCTGTATATGGATTCGATCTGCTACCTGTGGCCCGTGGCCGGACGGGCAGTTACATATCGTAGGTCCACACGCGCAGAGTAAATCTGTACGTACGTATAACGCCCGCAGTAACTCCATGTACAGTACCCACGCAGCCAATGCTGCCATGCATCCCTCTCCCTCTCGGTCGTCCGCGTTTTCGGGTTGCTCCGCTGCGATGCCCGGGCGCACGGCGAGCAATCAGTGGCGGAGACAACGCCATGCTAATAGTAAGGCCACTCCTAACACATAAACCACATGGTTTATATGTTCATTAGTTAGGATTTCAACTAAGTAAAAAGATGACGTGATACTGCAATTAAAAGAAAGAATAAAATAGTTTCTTAACAAGAAACCATGCTACACAGGAACGAAGATATAAAAAAATATGATAGGTAAACGACGAAGAAAAAAGATATGTCACTGGACAAAAGATTATTCAGTAGAAACTATCAATTAGGAATATACTCTCTTTGTCCCCTCTAAAAAGACGCTTCTCAAGTTTGACTAGTTTTATAGAAAATATTAGCAACATTTGTACCACTATATAAATTTATTATGAAAATATATTCCACGATTTATCTAATGATACTAATTATGTATTATAAATATTAATATTCTTGTATATATGATTGGTGAAAGTTAATTTTTTTTACTTCTCAGGGAATGAGAATGATATTCTTAGTGGGACAGAGAGAGTAGTGTCTACGTAAATTAATAAACGGCATAGAAATTATCTACGGTTTTTAGTATTGTGTCCTAACAAAGCTATGTAAAGTAGAACACATAATAATTATATAATATACAAGCAAAATTAGACAACCAAAATAGTTTTAAATTTTAAACTAAAATAATCACTAAGTTCTAGGTGGCGCCTGCCTCATCTTTGTACGTAGCTTTTCTTTTTGAGTAGGGGCGGTACGTAGGTATTAGGTATTACTAAGACTCTTCGGCTATTTGGGCTAATGTGTTTGTAGCGCCAGCAGAGGAGCCCGGGCCTTGGCTCCGCCAGTGCGAGCAATAGCGGAATTCGTCGTTGCCACAACGTCTACCTACCGTAGTTATCAGAAAGAAAAAAAAAAACGTATACTCCCTCCGTCCCGTTAAGATTGTCGCTCGGGAAGCGGGATTGTGAGGGGGGCACGGTTTTCCAACGACAAACTCAATGGGACGGAGGGAGTACGTGCTTAAGGCCCTCTAGTCTTTGAATCTCTTAACAAAAAATTAGAATAAGATAGAAAATACCGTAGTGCTTAAGGCCCTCTAGTCTTTGAATCTCTTAACCAAAATTAGAATGAGATCGAAAAATAAGAATAAGTGTCGGTTTGGCACGACTTCTTCCCCAGGTGCTGCTCTTGAGGAAAGAGTCACAAATTGAAGCTCCAACTTCTAAAAAAAATGACTCCGGCTCATCTTGCATTAAAAACGACTCCTCGTGAGTGGAGAAGTTTGATATGATTCCTCTAACTCCTCCGACAAAAGTGTTTTTAGAGCCGAAGCCATAACCTACCAAAACATGCTGAGATTCTAGAATCTAACTACCTATCTCGAACCTACTTCTTGAAGTTTTTCACTATAACAAAACAATAATCACTATTCGAATGAGATCAAAACATCCCTCATTTTTTCACAATATAATCCATATTCTATACTCATTGTCTAGAATCCAAAATCTCAATACGAGAATGAGATCTAAATATGCTAGCTCCGTCCACGGAAGAACACGGCTCTCGCTTTTGAAGAAGTCAAATGATTTAAACTTTGACTAAATTATACCAAAAAACACAAACACTTATAATATGTAAAAAATAAGTATCATTAGATTGATTATGAAATGTGTTTTTATAATAAACTTATTTAGAGACAAATGCTAACGATTTGGGGGGACGGAAGGAGTACTGTAGTAATTGTTGTTTGTACAGTAGTAGTGTATACTCCGTATGCACCAACAACAGTACGGAGTGAGGATTTATAAGTTGCAGTGTCCTGAGGGTGCAAGATTTACCGGTACTAGTATAAACTTTGACTGACAAGTGACAGGTAGATCTTTGTAACCGTAGGAACGGATCTCGTACTTGGTGGCAAAAATACAGTACTCGTACAACTACAGTAGTACCAAAGTCCAAAACCACTTGAAAGGTTTTCATCGAGGAAGAAAAAGATTAGTATTGGCAAATTCAGAGAGCGAGCACCGGCCAGGGGCAGGGGCAGAGCGCAGACTGTACGCTTAATTTTTATAGGTTGGGTGTAGTAGGACTCCGTGCTGCTGAAACGGAGGAGACGTTTGTTAAAATTTGGAGGTGATCTGGGCGCGTGGGTGTAGTAGGACTCCGTGCTGCTGAAACGGAGGAGACGTTTGTACTGCTGGGCGTGGCCGCAGCTGCAATGATCGTCCTGGACTGTGGCTGCAGGACCGGGACCCGGAGATCTTTTATGATGCCGAGGTGGATCGAGAGGGGCTCGTGGTCCGTTCTGTTCATGCGCGATGGCCGCCTAACCAACATTGAACTCATCAATGCGTCCATGGCCAATATCGCTCATTCGCTGAGGCCTCTGGTCCTTGGGGGATCATGGCAATTGGCAAGTGCAGGCCCGCAGAGTTCCGGGACAACTTGTACTAGTACTACTCGTAGTATGTCACATTAACAGCATTCCTGTAGACCAGTTACCAGTCACTGTGGCACCATGGCCATGGCGATGCAAACGACTGGATGGTGCGCAGTTCGCTTCCAGGAAGGACAGGAGGCAGCCATGAGCGGATGAGCCCAGGAGTCATGGCATTGCGTCGGAACGAACCGCACAACACAACAACGCCGATTTTTTTTTTAAAGGAATTTGGAGGAATATAGATGAATCTGGAAGAATTTTGAAAGTATAAACCGTGTTTTCAACCCTAAACAGTGAAAACGGCTGATTTTGGCACCAGCCGAACGAGCCCAGCCCAGAGAATTGCGGGGTTCTAAGCGTCGTCCAACGTTCCTTTCCTTCGCATCACCAGGGTTGCAGCGATGCAGAGAGGCCCTCCCTCCTCTGTCATCTCCTCCTCCTAGGCAGCAGTAGGCCGTGCGTGGAACGGCCGCACGGCAGGCAGACACGGCAGGCCATGAGATGGAGACAAGACGAGGAGGCTGTGTCCAAACCACGTCCGCAAACGGCCCGGGGTCCCTCCCGCCCATGCATCCCGTAGCCCTAGCGCCCGTCATCATTACACACTGACGCCGGTCTCACTCGTCCCGTCCGGCCCGCGGAACCAACGAGGTCCGCCACGGCAGCCCTCGCTGGGCCTGCTGCAGCCCTGGATTGATTAATCAGCGAATGAGGCCATCATCACACTTATGCCCCGATTGACTGATAAATTATAGCTGAAAATATTTGTTAGGAAAAATTCGTAATATCGTTAACTAAAAAATATCTCGGCCGGTGTTATCAATCACTCTCAGTACAGTACTTAACTAATCAATCACACAAGCACCTGAGTTCTGCGTTCTGACGACGCCTGCAAACATCAGTTGGAATTAGCAGCCACCATGAATCAGTGCAAGTTGCTGTTCCAAGGACAATGGTTACTAGCGCCAAAAGTGACAACACCACTGTAGCCGTAAAAGATGCACCAAAAGACAGTCATGATCCACTCAGACCTTGTTTAGATTGAAAAAATTTCAATTAGAGCACAACTTTTCTCGTGGATCAACACAAAAAGATTCCCCGCCGCGTGCAGCTGCTACTCTGGGGATCTTAATGTGATGCCAGTTAAAAAACAATCAGAATCAGAGCCAACAAACTTTACTAAAACGACGACGGGATCACCAGATCCAACCAACAATTTACTACATGCCGATCACCAGATCGCTAAATCCACCTCACCCCAAAAAGCAAAAAAAAAAAAAAGAGCAAATTAAATCATATCGAAGGCACTCATCACAAGGCAATTCCGAAGGACCACCAACACCAGGTCGCCCCGCCCCGCGCGCCCTCCGTCACTGGCTGAGCGCGCCGCCGCCGCCACCCTCGGACACGGCGGGCGAGTCGGAGACGCCGGAGGACTCGTCCACGGACGACTCGTGCGACGGCGAAGCTGACGCGTCCACCACCCCGCACGCGCGGACCTCGTCGATCATCTTCACCACGTACCCGATCTTGGGCCGCTGCTCGGGCGCCGCGGCCGCGCAGCTCAGCGCCAGCTGCAGCATCGCCACCATCTCCTCCTCGATGCCCTTGTCCTTCATCAGCTCCAGGTCGAACACCTCCGACGTCCACTCCTCGCGCACCACGGACTGCACCCACCGCGGGAGCTCCACCACCACGCCGCCGTTGGGGAGCTCGCTGCCCGGGTACCGACCCGTCAGGAGCTCCAGGAGCACCACGCCCAGCGCGTACACGTCGCCCTTGTGCGACGCCCAGGGACGGGGCGGCGGGGGCGCCTCGGGCGCGCGGTACCCCGCGGAGCGGGCCGCCGCGGCAGCCGGGGTCAGCTGCGCCAGGCCGCAGTCCGCGAGACGCGCCATGCCGAATCTGTCCAGCAGGATGTTGGTGCTCTTGATGTTGCCGTGCGCCAGCTTTGGCGTGCCGCTGCCCCGGCGGCCCGAGTGGTGGATGTAGGCTAGCCCGTGCGCGGCGCCGGCCGCAATGCGCAGGCGCGCCGCCCACTCCAGCGGCGTGCGCCCAGGGCCCCGGTTCCCTGCATCGTCATCATACCACGTTGTTTCAATTCAGCATTAAATCAAGCCAACAAAAACTATTCACGAGACAAGCGGAGAGGACTTGCCGTGGAGGACGGAGAAGAGGCTGCCGTTGGGCATGTACTCGTACACCAGCAGCTTCTCGTCGCGGGCGTAGTAGTAGGCGTTGAGGGGCACGATGTTGGGGTGGCGGAGGCGGCCCAGCACGGCCATGTGGTGCTCGAAGTCCTTCTTGGACGCGGCCGCCGGTGCCGTGGCGTCACGCAGCCGCTTCACGGTCACCACGGTGCCGTCGTCGAGCACGGCCCTGTACGCCGTGCCGCACCCGCCCTTCCCCAGCATCTCCGCGGACGCGCGCAGCAGCTCCTCCAGCTCGAACCGCCTCGTGCCGCCGTTGCTGCAGCTCACGTCCTCCAGAAACACCATCTTCCCGCGCTCGAACGTCGCGCCACCAGCACCAGCCGCCGCGACGACACCGGCGGCGCCGTAAGGGCTGGAGGAGTACACTATCTTCTCCCCCTGCTGGAGGCGCCGGCCGCTCCGCCGCCCGGAGAGGCGCGGCCAGAAGTAGCAGAAGAGCAGCCCGGCCACCAGCCCCACCACGGCGAAATCCCCCGACCACAATTGCCACCACGGCGGCGCGGCTCATCTTCCCCTTGCCGCCGCCGCCTGCCGCCTCGGCGCCCGCTGGCTTCCCCGACGGCGAGGACGCCGCCACCATGGCGGAAGCCGGAGGGCAGTCCCCTGCCGCGGACGCGTTCACCGCCGCCGACGCATTGGGCTGCTGCGCCTCATCCTTGCACAGTGGGAGCGGCGCACTGCAGAGACCAACATTCCCGCCGAACGCCGCGGCCGGGAACGACGCCATCGCCGCCGGAATCCTCCCGGACATCAAATTGTTGGAGATGTTGAGCTCCTGCAGCCTCGGCAGCGCAATGGCGTCGATCCCACCGCTGAGCCGGTTGGAGTCCAGCCTCAGGGTGAGCAGCCTGTCGAGCCGGCTGAGCTCGGGCGGCACGACGCCGGACAGGTTGTTGGACGACAGGTCGAGCCGGTACAGGCGGTACAGCGCCCCCAGCGACGGCGGGATCGGGCCAGACAGCGCGTTGCCCGCGAGGAACAGCAGCTTGAGCCCCGCGAGCGGCGACAGGTCGGGGATTTCGCCCGAGAAACCGTTGCCCTTGAGGCTGAGCACGCGGAGGCCGTCCAGCCTGGCGAGCGCCGGCAGCGCGGCGTCGCCGGAGAGTCCGAGGCCCTCGAGCACCAGCCGCGTGACGCGGCCGCCGGCGCAGGTGACCCCGCGCCACGCCCCCCCGGCGCACGGCGCTGGGTTCGCGGACAGGTTCCAGGTCGCCAGCGCGGCGCCGGATGGGTCCGCGACGAGCCGGAAGTCCGACAGCGCCGCGACGTCGGCGTCCAGAGAGCCGGCATTGGCGAAGGAATGCAGCAGCAGCGGTGGCAGGAGGAGGAGCAGCAGAGCAGTGCTGCCGTTGGGAGGCATGCTCTTTTCGTTTTGTGGTGTTTTCTTGGGGTCTCGCGGTTGTCTCGCCTGCGCGCTCCGCCGCAAGTAGGAAATGGACAGCGGCGAGAGAGACGGAGCCACGGTGGGTTGGGTTCTTGTCTGTCTGGTGCTCGACTGCTCGTTGCTTCCCTCTCGTCGCACGTACAGTACAGTCGCTCGCTGCCTGCCCTTGTCGCTTGGAGCCTTTTGCCCTCCCCGTCTTTTTACAGCTTTTATTACTGAGCACGGGAGGCAGGGAACAGTGAAGCCGCTGCGACCGTGGCCCACCACTTTGGTGCGGTGGCGAACGGCGAGCTGCCCTAGCTAGCCGCTTGCAGAGGAGTACTGGGGAGTGGAGGCGGCGGAGGACGAAGGCGAATAGGTGATGGGATTGTTAACCGCAGAAACGGTACGGCGCGGTGGTGTTGGCGTGTTAAACAGCTGATGACGCCTGGGCTCCACACCATACCGTTGTTCGGCATCCTTGCCGCGGTGGGACTTTATTACTGTATATAGTACTGTACTCCAGTGGCCTCGGGATGCGTGGTAACGGCGGGTTGGAGACCGGAGACGATCGTGCGCAATCCGGAGATCATTATGGCGCCAAGAAGTCGCGTTCCCGCGCGCGGCAGAGGTTGGTGGCGTGGCGGTGCTCTGCTGCTCTCGTACCAAACTTCGGTGACTGCAGTGCAACTCGAGGCGCCAAGGCACACACGGCCTCACAACATATAACTGCTATGGCCCGTTCGGTTCTCTTAAATTTAGCTTGTTTAGTTTTTTTAGCTGAATATTTTTTTCTCACAACATTTCAGCTAGAATAACGTTTTTCAACCACTTTCAGCTAAGTCTTCGATTCATGTTAGACACTCAGCAGAACAAACATCTAAAATACTAGACACTTTAGTTATAAATTCAAACAAATACTTATTTAAATTCTTAGCTAACAATCTGTTATCCCGTCGCATTAAAAAAACACGTGAGAAGGAGAAGAAAACCATGGAGAGGGCACCATGTACATGCAGAATAGTTGTACTCCATCCGTCAAAAAAATACAAATCTAGCATAGCGTCATGTTTTAGTACCTTTTAACAATTATAGATAAAAAGTAACAATAATATCAAATAAATATAATAAGATTAGTTATGAAATGTATTTTCGTAAAAAATTAATTTGGAGTTATAAATATGAATACTTTAGTATAAACTTGTTCAAACGTGAATTATTTTAATTGACATGCAACACGTAGTTGTATTCTTTTTTAACAAAGGTAGTACATATCTAGGAGTTGCATACCAGATTCAGCCTTGTTTGTTGTTTGTGAAAGAATCAAGATGCCCAATTGAAAGTGAATTGGGCTAGTTCTAACTTTCTTGCAATAATTAAGCCCTACACTTAGCCCATTTCACCCCCTTATGCCTAGAAGTGTTTCTATTGTTCTATCGCATAAAAAGTTTTGCACCTTATGTTCCAATCCTACTCTAGCATGGCAATTCTAAGAATGTAAAGACATGAATTGAATTGCTCAAATATAAATACTCAAAGTAAAGAGAGGGAGAGGAACACGACGATGTTTCTCCGAGGTATCAGAGAGTCGCCACTCCCCACTAGTCCTCGTTGGAGCACCCATGCAAGGGTGTAGCTCCCCCTTGATCCGCGCAAGGATCAAGTGCTCTATACGGGACAGATTCTTCGACACTCCGTCGCGGTGAATCGCCCACAACCTCTCATAAGACGACTTGGGTCATCCACAAGCTCCGACGGATGATCACCAAGCTTTCAATCACCATCGAGCCATCTAGGTGATGGTGATCACAAAGAGTAACAAGCATGACTCTCACTTGACCCGACCAAGCCTAATGAGAGGAGTGGATGCACACTTACTTATCTCTACGCACTAATGAGGTCCTTAATCTTGGATTGGCAAATCTTAATCACCCTACTAGGCTCTTGCTCTTCCTTGCACACCAAAGTATTTCCTCAGCAAAACAAATGGGCAAGAGAGACCAAAAGTTCGAAATGGAGGGGTATAAATAGCCCCAACCTAAGGAACTAGCCGTTAGCCCTCCCCTCAGCCTTTTTGGGGCACCGGACAGCAACGTGGCACACCGCCACCTCTTGTCCGATGCCACCCCAATGACTACTTTTCAAGTGACCGTTGCTGGGCTGGCACCTCCACCCTAGGGGCGGTGACCAAGCCCCTGAAACACCATTCTCTAGAATAAAATGGCGGTGGCACCACCACCCCGGGGCGGTGCCCTGTCCGGTGCCACGAAGACCTAGGGGTACTCTCTGGAAAAAAGTGACGGTGGCACCACCACCCTAGGAGCGGTTGAAAGCATCTAGGCCCCTAGTTGGGTTTCAGTGATTAATGACGACACAAGATTACTATGACTAACTTATGTTTTGCAGAGACAACTTAAGTTGGGTCATGGTAATGGTGATTGATTGGGCAATTATGGTTTTCATGCCCCTGTCGATGAAAATTGCTTCAGTTTTCAAAGGATGGACGACAAGGTTAAGGACAGACTAGTTCTAATTGTCGTTTGGCGTTGAAGAGACACTTAGAGTAGTTTAGGACTTTGTTTCTTTTCCTTTGGCCATACTATTAAGGGGGCTATGAACTAGTAGCTTGACCTAGATGAGTCAAATGGTTTAGATATGGTGCACACTTGTGAAACTTAGCACTAGGTAGCTCAAGGACAGCCCATAGATCAGTTGAAGTCGATGTCATTCACAAAGTTGGTAAAATTTGAGGTGAATGGAGACTTGGATGATGATCAAACGCTGGATCGGACGCACAGGTGCCGCGTCCGGTCAGTGTTAGCTCGCGCAACTAGGGTGTGTTCAACGACCGGACGTTGGACCGGTGTCGGTGTTTCGTACAAGCACCGGCAAGTAAATTTATAGTAATGCACGTTAGGCTCGGATGGTGCGCTAAAGGGCACAAGATTTATACTGGTTCGGGCTGAATATCCCTACGTCCAGTTTGTTGCTGCTCGTGTTATTAGCACCGTGAATGGTTTGTAGTAGGCGATACAAATGATCGAGAGAGGGACATGTCCCAAGTCTCTGATGGAAGGGTTGAAAGAAAGTTGAGAGCTTGGTAGTAGCTTGACTATGTGTGTGTGTTGCGTTGTTTTTCGGTCCCCTTTAGCTGGAGGAAGCGCATCCCCTTTTATAGATGGAGGGGACGGCTTTACAAGGGTCAAGGCTTAGGATCCGTGCTCTACCTAGCCTCCTTACCCATTCTGATGGGTGCGAAAGGAAGATAAGCGCCTACAATACTGTGGATGCTTCTGCAGAATATCAGGATGGTTACAGAATAGTGCCCTGCGTAGGGTATGGGCTGGAGTATAGTGGTTTTGACTTATGAACCTCGCCCAGCCTTGCTCCGCACGCCTTTTAGCTCTATGAGTCTCTGTCGGAGGGACACGGAGTCGAGGTTCGGAGTAGCGCTGTGGGCAAGGTCCTACGAGTCGGTGGACCCGAGGGGTCGGGAAGCGGGCGCCGCTCCCTTGGGTCCATAATGTGGTGACGGCATGTCCATCATTCGTGGAGATCACAAATCCTTTTCTGGAGCGTAGTGGTTGTCGTGTACCTTCATCGGGTTCCGTGTCCCAGAGCTGAAGGCGGCGCCTACAACTCTACAGGGCGAGGAGTATGCGCCTGCAATACCTTTTGGGCTCTACGGCACCCAGGAGGGTCTAAAGCACCTGCCCAGTCGTTCCCTGGCAGTACCTTTCCTACCGGGACGCAGGGTATGGTCCTTGAAGCCGTGGTTGACTCGAACGTCTTGTCTTGCTCTGTACCCATCATCACGAGGGAACGGGAGAGAAGTTACCAGGTAAGATAAAACCAGCCTTTGGACATCGAACGGGGCGAGGTTCGTCCTCGGTCGTCGGGCGAGGCGGAGCCTAGTCCTTATCCCTTGGGCGTGACCGAGCCCACCCCTCGGGGGTCAGGCGAGGCGGAGTGTATCCCTCAGCCCTCGGGCAAGGCGGAGACTAGCCTTCAGCCCTTGGGCGAGGCGGGGCTGGCCCAAAGGCGTCGGGCGAGACGGAGGCCAGCCCTTTGCCCTCGGGCGAGGCGGGGCTGGTCAAAAGGCGTCGGGCGAGATGGAGGCCAGCCCTTTGCCCTTAGGCGAGGCGGGGCTGGCCCAAAGCCGTCAGGCGAGACGGAGGCCAGCCCTTTTGCCCTCGGGCGAGGCAGGGCTGGCCCAAAGGCGTCGGGCGAGACGGAACCTAACTTTCATCATTCGGGCAAAGAACGCAGCAAAGCCCTTGTCCGGCCCGTGGCGAGTTTTAACGTTCGATGGTCATTGGTTCCACCTTCCGTGTACCTTGGTATTAGATCCCGACAAGAGTAACCCCGAGCCTCCGTGTGATTCGGATAGAACCGCTGGAGGGTGTTTTTCGATTTCGTCCAGTCATTTTGCGGAGGGTGCGCGCGGCGCCACCGATGGGTGTAGCCTCGAGCCTCCAGTGATTCGGATAGAACCGCTTGGGGTTGTATCGACACCTTCACACGGGTAAGGTGAAGGACTTGGTTTTTTCGTCAACTGGATATTTTTTCGAGGGGTCGTGGTATCCCATTCATTAGGGATCTCATTCGATGACCTAATTGGGGCTTGACCATGGATCGAGACCCGATTATGCTATATTACCTTGATTTTGGATTGTTCGTGGACCCGCCACACATTACTTATCATCATCGAGCTTCTAGGCCCTAGGTGGGCCAAATAGAAAAAAAACTTTGTGACCGCCTTCCCTAGGTGGGAAGAGAGTTCGATTCACTGGGAAGGTGAACCGTCCACCGTGATTTTCGATGGGAAAGGATAGGGACTGCGGGCGCGTGTCCCACGATGTGACGCGGCGGTGCGCGTGGCAATAATCGGAGATCGAGGCGACGGTTGCCCTTCTCGCGCCGTCGCCCCTATAAAACCACGGGTTCGCCCCAAGGTTCTCATTTTGCCCCCTTGCCTTTGCGTCCGAGACATCCGC